ACTATGACAAATAGGAAAAGCAATGATTCAACAGGTCTACTTTGTATGACTTAGATTTTTACATCAATTTTAAGATTGAATAGTTTCAGATTAATTGTTAAGATTCATAAGACAAATATAAAGTTCCTATATTAATGTATATGTGGACATGATACAAGTCACCTAGCCTCTACCTATATCTTCCCTATTGTTAATTACGTTAGTTTAATCCTTGAATGTCCTTGAATGCATTTATTCACCATTTTATAAAATATAATAGCAATCCTTTATAAATCCTATTACTAATTTAAAAAACTGATGACATATGCTTTATATTTGTAGGAGTACGAAAGTATATATCTCTGAATTTTATAAGTGTTTTTAATATCGTAAGATTTTTTAATTTTATTAACATACACTTAAGTCCTAACAACATTGAAGAATGAATTGATATTAGTGTATTAGAATAGTCTCTGAATCAGTTCTCTGTTGTGTGTGCTAATATTTCAAAAGATGAATCACCAAGCAGTGGACTAATAGTTGTTTAATGCAACTGAAGCTACTCAGTAATGTTAGAATGCTAAATCAATAGCCACAAGAAATGTCAAATGTGAGCATATTTGCAGCACTGTCCTGGAATGTATGCAAAGAAATATAATTATGTCTGTATTAATAGGTATCTAGGATGAATGACTGAGATTTTAAAAAAACTGGCCTTCAAAATAAACTGTGTGTCTCGTGTCTGCAATCCTACACTTTGATAGGCTAAGACTGGAGCATTCCTTAAGGCCAGCAGTTTGAGAACAGTGGGACCCATCTCTACAAAAAACAAATTAGCCCAGTATGGTGGCATGCATAGAGGCATTTTCTACTATTTTTCCATTACTTACCAAATTCACTTTAAAATTCTTATTCCTCTTTGGGCATTATAATTACATGAAAAGTTACTAAAAAATGTTGGTATCTGAGCCCCACTCTCAAAAATTACAATTTAATTGGTTTGGACTGGTATTAGACATCAGAATTTTTTTTAAAAAAAAAATCTCTCCAGGTGATTTTAGAATACAAAATTCTACAAATTTATTTCAAACATTGCATATTTTTGTAATCCTACAATTTTAAATGTTTAGTAAGTTCAACCATGACTTTAAAATTTTGCTGGAAAGAATGTCATAACGGTGAAAACTTTGGATACAAGAGAACATTAAAGATGTAGATAGAGAAAAAGACACACTATGGATATTAAAATATAGATGATTAACTTCAAGACCTCTAGACATGTACACTAAATGTTATCAAAATCTTCTAAATATTTTCTTTATAAAGCTGTCTTTAGGCATTAGACAACAACTGCTTCTGGGACTGTCAAAGTTGTAAAGCCTGGCCATTAAAAACACATAAAAAATAAATAAATAAGAAAATACCAATAAGTCTCATCCCAGGCTATATCTGTAGAAGAATTATAATTTTCTGAATACTCCAAGACAGAAGTCTTTTCAGAGTTCACGAGAAGTTACATGATTATTCCTATGGTAGAAGTGTTTCAGAAACATTAAACCTGAGCTCTGATGGAAGATAGCTATTCCATGGGAAAGTAGTATGGGGCTAACTGCCCGTTCACTGTTAGGCTATTTCAACAAATGTTTTATCTCACTTGAGAATACTTAGATTTTGTACATTAAAGAATGGATGGGCT